CCCCCCCCCCCCACCCCTCCCTCCCGTGCCTGCAGGATTGTATCCTGTGATGATATAATACCGGTACGTGCACGTTTGATTTTACTGTTGACATTTTGTGAATTCACTGAAACATTTCAGAGGAAGTGGCCCATATAGCTGGGCATTTGAAAGTATATCCCTGGACATTGACAGAGAAAATGTGCTAGGCAGTGCTATAAACCAGATGGGCAGAACACTTGGACATGCACTGCGAAACAGATCATTGCACGTTACTTTTAAGAATGAACCTGGTGGGTTACATCATGTTAAACTTCATTGATATATTAACAAGTTTGTAAGGATCACAAAGTGTCAGAATTACTGATTGTAGAAGAGTCTGTGTTTAGTGAGGTTTATACATACATGCATAAACTTTATTAACCTGTCAAAATATATTTAAATATTGTTGTTATTTTTTTTTCCTGATTGCATCATACACTGTGGGAACATGTAGTAGAAATTTCTGATTCTTACAGCTGTACATGTATGTTGAAAATGTTTACATGTAGAAGACTAACATAGCATAACCTGATGTCCTATCGCGTCTGTGCATGTATAAACCAAGTAGCATTCCCATAATAATGGTCTAATTTTGTGCTTTGTCATTTGAATTTCCTAAAGGTATATGCACTGGTCCTAAGAGGGAATTCTTTGCTTGCTTCTGTAAAGATGTTATTGATCCTAAACGTGGCCTCTTTATAGTCACAGATGATACTCAGTACAGGTAAAATGATACGTTTTTTTCGTCTATTTTTTGTTGTTGTTGTTCGAAAGCTCATGAAGTCATATACGCTGCAATAACTGTCTTCTTAACCAAGCTGTTTGGTACTGTACTGAGCTGTACTGGGAGAGTACTGTTCTTTCTGCACAGACCTCGCTGCACTTGAGGGCCAATACTTTACAGCGCAGGCCTTGTGGTGGGTCTAAAACACAAGTCACGGGTCATTGTTTTACTAATACTGGAACAACCTTAAACCGTTACTAATACTGACCTTAAGCCTAAACATTGTCTTAGTGTAGTACTTAGGGCTAAGGTTAGCATTAGGAAGGGGTTAGGGTTGTTCCAGTATCGGTAAAACAATGCCCCGTGACCTGTGTTTTAGACCCGCCGCAGCCCTTGTGTTTAATAAGCTGTATATTTTACATTTTTGCCATGCGATACATGTACTTCTGTTTGGCGCGTTCATGATATGTTTGCTTTTTTCCATACATGTGCAGTCCAGTGCCAAATGCTTACTTTGCTAAATATGTCAACAAAGAAACACAGCAGGATTCTTCACAGAACACTACAACTCAGCCAGTTACATCAGTTAAAGAAGCACATCCATCAGCCGAGTGTACAGATGAAGAATTAATGACAGCATTGTCGCAGGCTGAAGAGCTTGCCGAAACTACAGCAAACACCAGTCATGATGATGCAGAGCGAATCAATGAAGATAGTCAGGCAATTCATCAGGCAAGCAATCTGTTGTCTGACGTACACCGTGAAACAGAGAATCATGATGTAAGCCCGCCTGGAGAGAAGCAGACTAATTCAGGCAGTAGCGTATCAGGAGAAGGCGCAACGTTAGTTGATGAGGAGATGAATATAAAATTGTCTAGTCAAGTTGCGTCTGGTGAGAGAGCGGAAGAAAGCAATGAGACAAGTGCTTCAGATGAAGCACACAATGGTACATCTCACAGCAGTGGACAAGATTCATCTAGTGCCAGCAGTATTGATCGTGGGGATACAACGTGGATATCTTGTATGGTGGGTAAAATGATTGACTTGCATGGACTTGTATTTTTTAGCCCTCTCACTTGATGCTGGGGGTAACTCTGCGATGGACTGGCATCCCATCCAGGGTGGAGTAGAAATGAGAGGAAAAATCACAGAAGGAAAAAAAGCCGGCAGGGCAAGCAAAACAAGACAGCACCCCCTCCCCCTTAACTTAAGGTCTGGATCGCCACTGAGTCGCTTCATGCTACAGAAACCGGAATAATTTCGGGCCTGATGAGCCACTTGGCTCGTATGCAGACTTTACCTTACTTGAAGCACAACAGGCGATTTTAAAGATAATTTTCGAAAAATTTCAAATTTGCCGCCATTTTCGCTTACCATTCGTCTTAGTTTTCACTTAGTTCTTCTCACTAACAAAGAAGCTGTAGCAAAGATGAAGGAACACGTGACTTCAGACTGCAAGTAAACAAGTTGAGTTCGAGGAAAATTTATTTAAAAAAATAAAACATAACCTTTATTTACCCTCGGCAGTGTTTATAGCACAAGTGCTAGTGGGGCCGAGCAATCAACTGAAAAAAATAATTCAAATTGAACATAACATTGTTAAGAATCCCAACTGGCCGAACGCAAACCAGTTGGCTATTTACAAGCGTGGCCGAGGATTTGAACTCGGAACTACCATGAAACAAATCCAGGTAGTGGTCAGAGCGGGACTCGAACCCTGGACCACTGGACTGCGAGTTCGACACGCTGACCACTCGGCCACGCTGCCGCCGTTATTTGAGGTTTAGTGTGGAAAAATGCCGGAAAGATGCGTTGCAAGGACAACAAGATGCGATCACTTGCTATTGTCCTTATTTGTAAGTACAGCACAAGGTGACAATTCAACGCTGATAGATGTAAATGTTCCTAACTGTTGAAACAATGTCGAATGGATATTACATGTACATTGAAACATGCGTATCACTTTGTGGTATAACTAATAATAATGTATTTTGCCGTGGTGGCTTATTCATCAGGAACGTAGCAGTGGAGACAAGGCCATTACGAATTTGTCCTTGCGTTCCAAACTCAAGCAGCTTCGCTTCATTGGCCGCATGACAGGATTTGCCATTTGCCAGGACTTGCTTCTTGATCTCCATCTGTCTAAACCATTTGTGAAGCAGGTTTGATGTAACTGTTTGTTTACAGGTCATGCACACGTGTAAAAATCCCCACCCCACCCTAAAACGTAATGACATGTTCCCTCACCCAGCCTCAAAAGAAAATTAAATATCGTGAATTACAGACCAAAGTGTGAAAAACTTGTTGTCTAGATACACTTGTATTGGCTGAAAACACACTTACATGTTGGCACGGATATTAGTTACTGTTTCGTATTTTCCCATCTACTGTTGCGTTCATTCGATTTGCAGGCTACATGTAATTATGATGTTTCATCTCTCATTTCAGATCCTTGGAATCCCATTATCTCACCCAGATGACCTGAGTTCTTTTGATTACGAGCTTCACAAGAATGCAGTGACCTGGGTACAGGAGAACAGCGTGAATGACCTTGATTTGTCATTTAGTGTGGATGCACTGAATCCGTGGAATTCCAAACCTGTTACAATCGATCTTACTGATGACAGCGACAAGAAACTTACAGATGATAACAAGGTGCGTGATAACAGATACATGGAACCTGTTCCAGGCTCACGCATGACCAAACTCGGCCGGAGAGGAGACTAAGAAGAGCACTCTTACTCTCCCTAGTCCTACCCCCTTTTAAGCTTTCTAACTCGCGTGTACATCTCGCCCGTTCCCTGAAATCTGAAAGTCGGAACCAGGAACAGAATAAAATTTAGGATAAAAGTGTAGAAATTAAATTGTTACTGCTATGAAATAATCAACTGTCATGTTTTACCTGTCTCCTCCCGATTATGAAAGTTGCGTTACCCTAATAAGTAATTAAATGCCCATGGAGAAGCTATTTTGCAATGTACTGGTAAAAGCAGTACGCATTTCTTTCTTGCAGGAAGAATACACCAAACTTGTGTCCCAGTTTAAGCTGGAGACATCGATAAAGGATGAAGTTGCGGAATTTTCCGGAGGACTTAATGAGGTTAGTTATAGTGGATAACCAACAAATTAACTGGGAAATGAGAACCAGAACAATCTTCCAATACAAAACAAAGCATATCAACTTAGTAACATGAAGAATCACAAGTGATCTGTAGAAATCCACGGCCGCAATACAACATGCTGACTTCACACAAGGCAAGGCTGGGGTAGCCCTGAAACTATCGGAATTTTGTATATACACTTTATATCAAAATCAGTTTATCTATGAACAATTTCCTCTTAATTTAGGTTATTCCTCGTGATTTCCTGTCCCTGTTTACAGCCGATGAATTTTCACTCTTGATTAATGGAGTCACTAAACTGGATGTGGAAGACTGGAAGAAACACACTGTGGTAAGTTGTGTTACTGTTTATTATGGCCTCGTACGAGACAAACTGAGAGCTGGTACACTGAATTGGGCCTACTACTTACTGGACACTACCCTGCTTCTACAAACGCATTTCGAACTGCTTTGCAAGGTCTTTCATTAATAGAAACACAACTCACAAGAATCTCCAGCACCTTTTCCTCCTAGTACCACATGTAACATTTTGCTTGATGGTTTTTCCTTTGCAGTACAAGGCATGCACGGTGGAACATGACGTCATTCAGTGGTTCTGGAATGTAGTGTGGCAGTTAAAGGAAGAAGAAAAAGCTTTGCTGATGAAGTTTTCCACTGGCTCGCCGTGTGTTCCTCTTGGTGGTTTTGCTGCTCTAACGGTATGAATGCGAATAATTTTTATTTGTAGATATCACTGCAACGCCATCGATATAAGCCGATATACCAAAGCTCCTCCCGCACAAGCTCTTCTTTAGTTCCGCAGGGGGTGAAGGCTAGAAAAAGATTTTCCACGCTAGGCATTTGGCTCAAGTGATCAATGTAGTTCTCTTTTGTTTGTCAGGGTTTGTCGGGACCTACAAAATTCACCATCCTGAAGACCGAAGGACTCAACAAAGTAAGTATCTTACGACCTTAATGTAGTGACGGACTGACCGGCTGGCTGACTGACTGACTGGAAGCTACAATTTCCCTTTCCATGTGATATTCCCTTGCACAGTTCAACCTAATTTTACCTACTTGAAGTCAGTTTTGTACGTGATTGTCTATTTACACCCTCACCAAAAAACGGGTGCACAGCAGTAGAATACGAAGTCTTCTACAGGGTTAACACATTGTAATCCAGCTCTCAAAAATACACACTCCCACAAACTCGGTGCAGATTTGCGAACCCCCGGAACAACGATCATTATGTAAGAACTACTCACCTTGATTATTTGATCAACATACTGAGATTTGACTCGTGTTTTGTTTTTTGTTTTTTTCAATTTTGTTTTTGTTTTTTATTGTTATTTATTTTTTATCTTTTGACAGATTCCAATGGCATCCACTTGTTTCAACATGTTAAAACTAACCAGCTACAGTTCTGAGAAGCAGCTCAAGGATAAGCTGTTGATTGCGATACGACACGGTGCCGAGGGCTTCTCATTTTCATGACCCAGTTACAGACTCTGCTTCACAAAGCGTGATAGAAGAAACAGTGAGATCTCAAAAAACTTTGCTTTGCCAGCAATGATTGAAATTGACGCGAAAGACAGGGTGCTGAGGGACTCTCCTTTAGATGAGTTACAGATCCAGCTGTACAGATCATAACAGACTGAGGCATTGAAAGGGTATTTTTTTTTTTTCAATTATGAACTGATTGCCGCGATTCGACACGATGATGAGGTGTTCTCGTGTGCGTGATCTGCTTCCAGCTTTACAGAACATGATCGTGTGGTTGCTGGATCCAAAAACGACATTGATTTTGTTGTTTTGTTTTTGTCTTTTCTTCCACTTATTTATTGGTTATCAAACAACGTCGTGAGTAATTGACAAAACTCGATCACAACTAAAGAAAGGACATTGGCTTAACTTGCAATTGCTGAATTGAGCAAAAATGTGGACGTTAGCACGTGCAGATGTTTAAGGTAGTGAATAATTCCTAAAGGTGCAGTTGCACTAGACAAATTTTCGCGCTTGCTTGTCTCACTACTGAGGTGCTACACAAATTGCACAAGGCGTTGCCCACGGTAAAGCCCCCCTGAAATGGTCATGTCTCTAACGTTTTGTCGCTGCAAGCATTGCTGTGCAACACAACAAACATGCCATACAAATTACCTGGTGTCATGTGTAACAGAGCCTAATAATTATTTGTTTATCACAATTTGGTACGCTGCATTGAGGTTTTTGAAATCTGGATTTTTCTCTAATATTAAGACAGGCGGCGTGGATTTACCACACGACCATTAGCGTGATCAGAAGCCAACAATTCAGAAAAACAGGTTTACACCGCAATTTGCTATTGTGAATTACTAGACCGAAAGAGACTGCAATACCGCCAATGTTAGTGGGTTTGGTATTGTTTTGTTTGCTGTTTGTTTTTTGTATCAAACCCTTGTGGTAAACGTCGATCAAATAAATAGACGGATTCGGCTAATGTGTTTACATCCTTGGTGCTACCCAATAACGAAGCGCGTTAAGTCTAAAAATAGAATGCATATTATTGGAACCCCGCGAGAGTCAGACAACATAAGCGTTTTCTGAGAGAAATAGGAGGAAAATTAACGCCAAATTGTCGTTTTAAAAATTGTTTTAGGAACACTTGCTTACGCGCTTGAAAAAGCTCCAAATTTTCCACCATTCCGTTTTGTTTGTCTAAGTTATAACGTCACTCGCGCGCTTCGCTATTCAGATCAGGTGATATTACTATTGTGCAATCTGTCACACGCAACTGAATGCATGAGGGTGCGTACAAACAGACCAGTTGTAAGCTCCCAAGTGAATCATCACGTGTTCTGATCTAGGTGGCAACAAGAATGAAAACACGTTCAGCGAATCTGTCTATAACCCAAATACATGTATGAAAAAGATAACATCACGTGGTCTGTAGGCAATTTATATTCGTCATTAATCATTTGTAATGAAATTTTAGTTCTGTTCCGAAATGAATTTCACATGACTGATTTCACTGTCAAGATAAAAATAGCGCGGAATACGCTTTGAAATATTCTGCAACGTGTATCTGTGATGTGGGAAAAATGTAGTTTATCATAAATGTTATTGTTTGCAAAATAAAGAAAGGTAGTTTTTATTAAATTTAGCTGACATCCGCGAAAAATTTGTTTCGTTTTTTTTGCCAGAATGTAGCAGGATATTTAATTAATTAAACCTGGTTTACTTTTAATATCCTAAGCAGAAGTAAGCGCCTTGCCTAATTTGGATCTTCCAATTTTCAACAACTGAAGAAACATGTCACTGGAAACGAGACTTGAAGTCAAATGTTTGACAGTTGTACCGTTAAACCGCAATTGAAACCCCGCCGGACTTATATTGAATTTGCCGCGACATTTATCTAATAATGTTACGCATGCGCGGACCTTAAAGTTATTTCACCGTCTTACAACAAGGGAAATCAGAGAAGTATAGATATTTTTCTCGATTGCAGTTACTGATTCTTCGAAAAATTCTAGATTGCTGATATAATAACAGTTCCTCGTCGATATTCGCTCTTTTTTTAACTGCACGAAGTATTTGTAAAGTAAAACTATTGTCACTGTTTCTTGCTGCAAACGCTCCTGTTTCCGTTATTTTTGTCTTGGCACGTTTAGAATGTTTAGGGTTGAACTGAATGGCTCTCCATATTGACTGCTTTTTACAGATAAAAGTTTTTCAGTATTGACTAAGTACAGAGCTCCGAGATTAGCAATCTAGATTTTTCAAGTTGATTCTGTTAGATTAAATTAGGAGCCAAGAAAATTGGATCAGTAAAAATTGATGGCATGCGAAATAGGCCATGTACTACAATGTACGCCATACACATCAAGTCTTCAGTGAAAAATCCAGGCTTAGAAAAAATATCTGTATCGATAAATCTTGTTAGGATAAAATTGCGCTCGAAAAGCTTTTAAGACTGGGCTTCGATTCATGCAAATTGCGATCCAATTCCCTTTGGTAATGACGCATTTGGACAGTAAATGTCAGTTTATATCTCCATTAATAAAAGGCCATCTATTTCCATTTGCGTGCTGAAATTTAGCACCAGAAGATCCAATGAGAGTTTGTGCGTAGGTTTCTTTAGCACAAGCTTTACCGCGTCCATGACTGGTAATGGAGACTAAATCACGTCGACACGATCGCGTGGAAAGAAAAACACAACAAAGCACAACAAAGTTATCTCTGAAATTTTCAATGACGTGACTATATTTTTAGAAGTGTGTTTTATTGCTCTTCTGTCCACAAGCACTCAAGCAAGGCTTTGCAAATGTTATGCTAAACAGGTGTGATGTAACCTCTCACAGATACTTTATTCATACATGAAGAATATACAAAACAATTTCGCTCATACGCATGCTTTTTCCTTCTCGCCCTCAAAAGTTCCGGTTTGTGGAAAATTGATGGCGAAGCGTGATCGGCGAGGAACATGTTATTCTAAGCACTGAACAATTATTGGATTTACGACGAACACACAGGTTTCTAAACCATTATATTGCTTGGATAAGGAAACAAAAAATGCTATTTATTACGAGCATAATGTTTAAATTTCAATCATCGATGCTGGGTCTGGGAAGTATTCCATGATAATGATATGTGTATGGTTTGTATTTTTAGAGCAAGAGCGGTCTTTATTACTCAAAACTTGCTGCCTTTAGCTCTTGGTTGTGATGTCTTCTCCGCGGCCTTGGCGAAAAACCTTTTGACAAGATGAAAAGCGTGATCTTCTGTACCATTTCGTTCATATATTTGAATTCGTACAGCCTTGTTGAAGGGGAGGCAACTTCGAAGCCATCATCAGAAACAAGCAAGCAATTTACTGGTAAAACTCTTTATCATTCCTGTTTACCCGCGTACACTAGACACTTTATAGAGTTTATTGTCTTTTTTTCCTTCATGAATGTAAGATTTTTTCAATTCAATGTGTAAAGACGTTTGAAAACAAATAGGCCGTGTTACCATGAATATTTCGAATGAAATGTTTACAGGGTTTACAGATATCCGACCTTTCGTGAAAGAAGGGCCGTTACGATATATATAGGTTCGACGTTTTCACGGAAAATAAACTTCGTTCAACGCGGAAAAGTCAACTCATTGTTTACGAAAGGTGAGTGTGAGTATTCAATATTTTTGTGGCCGGAAAAGTGCTGGAAATTTTATAAACTGAACCTGACAAAAGTTATTTACATGGCGTCGGCTAAAATTTTCCGCAATCTTTAAATTTCGATTCAATGGATGTTTTTGCCTCCGGTGCCCATAATTAAACACCTTCTTATTGCTAAGCAAACGACAGTGGTTTGATCTTCGACGAAACAATGCAAATTTTCCGCTTTTGTTTAAAAGTTCCGGGGTCATAAGGACAATGGTTTTATGAACAATAATAAAATATCGTCATTGAAAAAAACTACAAAAAGCCAAAGAAATAGACTTAATGAACCGAGACAACTATAAAAATTCACAAAGAAAGCCCTTTAAGTTCGGTGAGTTGGTCGAATAAAGAACACTTCTACAATTAATTGATAATCTAAGACCGAGCCTCCCACTAAATACAGTCCCCCTCAAAATTCTGGAATCAGATAAAATGTTACAAGCGGATTAGCAATTATTCTGGTCAAGAAAGATTTATCACGGGCGACTTGGCCAGTGGAATAATTAGGAGCTTTTTGAAAGAAAAAATTGCTTCAACCAATGACGCACCCTGAAAATTAAGGCTTTGTTCTTATCACTGTTGACAAGTCTGTGAGTGTTTAGCGACGAATGTTTCATAAAAGCTACAACAGAACTGTAAGCTTTTGTATTTCATACGCTATTTGTTGTGAGGCATCTTCGCTATGAAGTCCGGAGGTAATGTAATTTTATTTTCTGGCACAGTTCATGGCTCGCAATCTTCTTTATGTCTCAATGGTTTCGCGGCGTTTTACGGTTAGATTTTTATTCCATTTTCACCTGTGCTGCGATGGCGGTATTTTTTAGCTTTTAATTTATTTTATGCTGTATAATCCAAAATTAAAACCGCAAATGTATGAAGTTTCTGAACGTCCGCGAAAACATCACTTAAACATGTATCGTTAAAAATAAATTATACTGTTACCACTTTTATTATATCTTAACTTTAATCAAGAAAATTTTCTTCCTTGATTATTTTTATTGTAGTTGTCTTTTTTCAATTTTTGTTTTGACGAACGGCTCCCATGAAAAACGTGTGATCTTGCTTCCTTTATTTCTCGAGCTAAGGAATTGATTTTAGAAAACAATCTTGCACATTTACAACTAAAGCAATCTAAAATGCGTTTTTTTTTCTAAGTCATTCCTTTAACGAAATTGTTCAGACCATGTATTTTTATCTCTATTTTAATCCTTATCTAATTTTGCTTATAAGCGTGTGGCGACACTTTCGAGAGCGCTAATGATTTCCTGGCTTTCTTGCTTTGACTTGGTCAGTTTTTCTAACCTGGGGAATTTTTGTAATGATCCGGCTAAAAAGATAAATATCTTGTTAAATCATCAATACTTGAAGGCAAATGCATAGAAGAACTGACTATTATTATTTCATCCATGTCGCTCGCGGTAACTACTGCGGCTAAGATTTTGAAAATTCATGGGATTTTACAAACGATCGAGGTATTAAGGCTACCTAAAAACCCACAGCTGAAGAAAATATACAAAATTACTTTGTAATTTCATGCACCTTTCCGCTTAGCGCGGTTTAATTTTTAGCCATAAATAATTTCTACGATAACAGCCTATGAACAAAATTTAAAATTTAAAATTTGATCCGCAAACGCATCGAAGGAGAGATGTTAAAATGCTAACTTCGACCCTAATTTTTGCCGTGTTTGTCTCCCAACTGTGGAGTCAGTAAGTATTGGTCAAAACTATCGATCTTTCTCTGATCTTATGCGTTTTATTGTTTCTTTCTCAGTTCCACAGCCAGCGATAATATTTCTGGGATTCCTTGGAGTATGTCTCGTGCTTGTGTTTCTCTTGTACAAGATTCTGCATTCCGATGTATGCAAACTCGATCGAAACAAACTGGCCGGCGTGCAAGAAGCGGATTACGTGGAGCTTGGGCAATCACCCGCCATGGGCGAGGATTCCATGGATGAATCGGACAGTGTAGATTTCATTCAACCTGAGACAACTGCAAGCGACAGGGAAAGCGATGACCTTGTTTTGAAAAAACCCAAATACATTAAGAGCAAGAGTTTGAGCGATTTGCTCTCTGACAAACCGCGTCAAGCGCCTGCCCAGAGAAAGCTGACTCAATGGGAGAGGCCTTCAGTTGAAGCTGTTAAAGCAATAAGTCATCTAAATGTCCTTTCTGCTTACGGCGATACGGCCGGTGCGCAGCGAGCCAGGCGAAACAAAGCTCCGAGTCGTGAATCAAGAGGCGAGATCAACTGCGTTGCGAAACTGCAAGTTTCCGTAGGATTTTCTCAGACAGCGCAGCGATTAGAAGTGACTATCATCCGCGCACAGGACTTCCCCGAAGCAATTTCTGTCGGTAGTGCTACTTCGGCGATGTCAATTCACTTGACATTAATGCCGTCGAAGAGATATCGATTCAAAACGAAGACAAAGGCGACCTCTGATGTCACTATTAACGAAACGTTTGTCATGCGCGGGATTTCTGCGAATGAACTGATGGAAAGCAGTTTTCGCTTTCGGATCTACGCGCAAGGCTCCATGAAGACTGGAAAACTGCTGGGAGAAACACAAACACACGTCACTGACTTTGATTTGGATGACGTCGTGTCTACGATGTGGATTATGGTGCCGCCAGCCGCCGAGGAACAAAAGAAACCTCCCAAGAAAAGGAAACAATAAATGGAGCTCATAGGTACTAAACTGAAAAAACCCAGTCTGATTATTTCTTCCTATCGTTTATTGGCTTTCCAGACTCCGGCAGTATACAGTATGTGCAGCTTAGTGTGAAAACCAACATAAACACTGTCAAAAATCGACAAGAAAAATTATCACAAGGACGAAGATCATGTTAAGTTTTCATCCCTGTTGGAAGAATTTGACTTTAAGTTTCGTTTGTTTTGTTCCTTAGTGCTTGAAACTGTTACAAACAGGTAGAGAATTCATTTTGGCGAAAAAAGTGTGGAGATAAAGTCGAGCCTCCTGTAGTAGATTCTTCCAACAAGACTCCTCCACCGACAATGCACAATTACCCTTCCTGCAGCGCCTCTAGACCTGAATTCATAATGACCTAATTGCCCTTTTGCATCTTTTGCTAAACGGCAAGGGACAATGTTTTCTGTTTTGTATGTTCTCAAAACTATCTGGAAAATCACTCACTCAGTGCGTGTGTCATTTCACGTACAATCTCTGATCACACTCAAGTTTTTTCTTGGTTAGAGTGTAAAGAAGACAACGAAATTGAGGTCTGAAAGGAGGCTGTATTTACAGGTTTTCCCACGCACTTTACCTTTTAAGGACACGCTTATTCATTTCCTTGACACTGGGCAGATGTTAAAACGCAGGATTCGGCACAAAAATACCTGCCCTGGGCTAGAGATAATTTTAAGCTGAAACTGTTCGAACGGAAGTTCGAAATTGTGTTTGAAAGTTCACGATAATTGTATTTGCAAGGCACGATGCCTTTTTCAAATTTTTATGTAAGAAAAATACCCTGTCTTAATAAGCAGACTTCATGAATAAGTTTTATCTTATTTCAGAAGGAAATAAACTGCATAAATTATTTTGTTTTAAGAACAGCTGTTATCCTTGGGGTAACTGTATTTGAATACTGCTTCAAACAGAAATTACTTTCAGGATTTCACCTGAACCAATGTCAGACCAAAATGTACTATTTCTCTTTAAGATTATTCAGTATGTTGTAAAATGCAGGCAAAATTTATTTTACTAGTAATTTTCGCCGCCTAGCTTGTAAAACGCCAGGCGGTAGCTTCACATTGTAAGGACTGGGTCCGAGATTTAGTGGGAACTGAGTGATCGATCCCAGGTCTCGTGCAGCGAATAATAAATTTTCATATTAAAACCTGAAATGCACTCTCAGTTTCTTTTACTTTAAGCGAAACAGGATTTCACTGTTTCGCTTTTGTAAGTCCCCTCGCAACTAATTGATTAAAACGTATCATGTGACTCGAGTGTGCAAAAATTTCACCAACTGCCAGGCGGTGACGTGAATGTTTTAACTTGGGAACTCAATTTGCAAAAATAAGTTTATCCTTCTACGCGCGAAATATTTGCAGCAAAAAGATAAGAACACAAACGTACAGGTTCAGGAACAGCAAAATATTTTGAATGTGTTACAGCAGGATACAGGACAGTAGGCACGGCTTCTGATTGGCTAATTGCGAATGACGCGTAGCGACAAAAATCACGCAAGCCATGTCTCACTCATTTGAACTGACTAGACGAGAAATATGGGGCCATTTATCACAAGGTGGTGTCCGAAGGTCACAGAAAAGCAAAGCAAGTGGTTTAAACTTCACCATCCCTAGTTCCAGAGGTAGCCCATGCAACACTCACAGATGATCAACAAAAATCAAGAAAATACTCCTGAAAAGAAATTTCTCTGTCCAATGGTCATTAAGGCATTTAATACCAAGGCAAAAGAATAGTTGTACTTAATTTTAATGTGTACTACGCCCACAATGACTGACAAGTAACTCACACCTTTTGAAGGCTTGTTCCCTTTTTAATAGGCCACGTTCGATATATCAATATTTTAACATGGTTCCGAGGCTTTCGTAGCCTCCCCAGCAAACGCTCTTACGACTCGTTACGCGTGACGAGCCCTAAGAGCGTCTGAGTGGGAGGCTAAGGCTTTCGGGGCAATGTTGTTTTCTTTGTATCCAAGTGTCTTTTGGGAATTGAGAGACAAAAGAAACTTTAAAAATGTGCAATTCTGATCTGAAAGCCTCCGAGCCATGTTAGAATATTGACATATCGAACGTGCCTATTACAGACTGTGTCTATCATTGTTATTAACGTTTTAACAGAAACGAACCAATTGTGTCGGCAAGGTATTTGTAGTCCTCCCAACCTTCTCAGCAAGTGATAAACCTCTCAGAATGTTGGACAATCGAGACTCAGGACAGCTATTGTCATTCAAAGCAATCTCGTTTATTTCATAAATCTTCATATTTAACTTCACTGGAGGAGAATCTTCGGAATTTATAATTTATTATCTACCATAAGGGATAATGCTGAAAACAGCAGTTTTAATTCACTCTAAATATCGTGGTGGTTTCTTTTACAATAGGAATCATCCAATGAAATTCCAGGAATACGATTGCGTCACAAGGTGACAAGCTAAGCTCTTAGACACGCGCGCTAGGTTTTAGGTAGCCACAGTTCCGTCTAACGGTGCCTAAAGAAAACTGCGACAACAATATATAACATAATTATGCTCGTCAGGCTTGAAATCAAGATTTCAGGAAAATGACAACATACTTTTCTTCTCTAACCACTTAAAGATTGTCAGTCCTTACTGTCATATTACAGTTCAAGGTTCTTTATTACCTTACTGTGCCCAAGTTATTTTCAACAAATGGTTTAACTAAATAGCATGTGGGGTCTATGCTTTGTACACGCAAACGATTTACGCAATTTTTACAAAAAGCGTAGCTTGATAACTACGTTAACTTTGTTAACTTTACAATGCATCAATAATGCAAAAAAAGCGAACTAGATTTTTTCCAAGTCAGTGTTTGATTATAAGGGGTTAAAATTAAAAACTCTGTCTGTTCTAGACGAAATCCTGTTAATTCGTTTCCGACTTTTGTTTGTTTCTTCTAGTTGCTGTTGTTGTTTTCAGTTTACTACTCTGAGCGGGAGTAACATCGGGTTTTCCGTTAACTTACTACTGACTAAACATACTACGACATAATTCTTCCTGACCACAAACATAAACTACTACACACTGAAACAAACAAGAAGACTTAGAGACGCTGCACATAATCACATGTCAAGCACGCGACTTGGTCGCAAAATCACGTGTCAAGCACGTGGTTTAATTTGGTGATGGCATACATTTGAGTCTTTCAAAGGAAGCCTTTTCCAGCCATTCTCGGTGATCAGGGTGGGCGACTTTGATCAGTTCATAAGCTCTTTGTTTCAAGTTCTTTCCAAACAAGTAAGCGATACCATGCTCAGTCACAATATAATGCGTGTGGGCACGTGTCGTTACTACACCTCCACCTAAAATAAATGGCGACGCCAGAATTCAGTTAAAAACCACATCTGACATCTAGAAGGAATCAGCCCCGGTCAAACGGCGTATGATAGTTCATGATAGTTGTAGCACGAGCTTGCGTTTGACCGCCAATTATGAGGCCCCATCATCGACTATCATCAATTATTTAAAAACTGGATTATTGGATAGTACAATTCCAGAGTTTTACATTGGCGCGCTCGTGGAATAATTGTTAATAGTCGTTCACTTTGAGCTTGTTCAAATTCTCCATGATAGTTAAGTAATAGAGGACTTGTTAGCCTCATCTATAAACGAGAGGGATTCGGAGAAATAAAGACAGTCATGCAAACCCGAGACTGCGTCTCGGGTTTGCATAACTTTCGAGAATTCTGCCAACCCCCCGAGTGTTTAGATGAGGCTATGTAAACACGGAAAAAGTCTTCTATTGCTTTTATAAGATAATTCTCAAAAATACGCGCGAATCTAAAACGTCACAACCGTGTCTACAAACTCTCACCTAAACACACCTATCAACCAATGAGAGCGCGCGCAGTATCTCACTTATTTTAAGCTCGATGATAGTTTTTCCCGTTTGACCGCGCGTATGCGAGTATCATAAACCGTTTGATCATGGCTTAACGCCCATTTGACCCAACGCATAGATTCATTTTGTGCTTTGTACAACAACCTCCTTCAAGTTTCACGAAGACACAAATCACATACAAACAATAGTTCGACAATTCAAAGCCTAGAAGCAAACCACGAATAAATAAACAGATAATTGATTATAGTTACTTTATAGTCGTGAGAAGATCTAGCATTTCTCCTCATGTATTCATACACACTAGTGGCCATGCATGCGTGTTTATTTACGTACCTTCTTTTAGGAAAGGAACAATCTTGGACTCTCCCCTCTTGGTGACAGAATTCAGTGCTAAGATTGGCTTACCAAGGCCATCATGCCCCAAGGCTGCCCCACGTAAGAAGTCTATTTGACCTCCGACACCTGAGAGGAAATAAAAACACACATCAAAATATCATGAGATACCTGTTACAGGCGCCGAGGTCCCACCACAAGAGCACGAGCTATAAACAACTCTCCACTGGCATCCCCCACCTCACGCTCCACTTAAGTTACAATTAAAAAAGACCACATGTCTGGTGACAAAACAAAAGAATCAGTCAATTACCTTTCACTGCTTTTTTTTTAATTTTTTTATTATTTTTTTTTTTCTTGTGTGTATTGGTGTTTTAGCCGTTTTGGTACCAAATAGGGTATGGTTTTTGCACTTTAGTCTTGAATTGGTTATGATTTTATAGAAGAAGCTACTTTTTCACCATTATTGGTAAGACCATCAACAAAGGCCCTTCATAATGCCTTTAAAATTGGTCTGAACTAGGGTAAACTAGGGTGCTAACTGTATTAGGCATGTCTGAAACAGTGTATTGATTTAAGTGTCAGGTCTTAAATACTAACAGGGTACAAATTTCTGGTCAGGTCATAGATAGGGTAGGGAAAATCACAGATTTTGGTCTTAAGGGACCAACAAGCTAAGGTTCATCAGGCTGCTGTACCTGCCATGCAATGTACATTACCTGAATACATTCGTGTGCCTATGGAATCAGATACAACTTGTCCAGTGAGATCCACCTCAATGCACGAATTAATTGCTGTCACTTTGGGGTTTTGAGAGATTATTGACACCAAGTTGACAAACCCAACATCTAACATGACTACAAAGCAAAACACAAAACAATACAAAAATAATGTAACGTTATAGTATAAGAACGATTCATAATAACGAAACTGTTAAATGGTACAATGTTCAGTTACAAAGCGGATTTTTCAGTGTATAAATGTTACTAAGTGACATACGACGTTTTTTTTAATGTATGAGAATCTGCAGACTGAGAGTTTTAAACTTTCACACCTGGGAGTAGAACTCAACTAAGAGTTTAAAATTTAAAATTAAATCTTATATTAAACAATACGTTACAAATTATTAGGTGAAACAAAAATACGTGGTACTGAATTTAATCCACTGCTTAAATTGGCAGGTCACACAATAGATTTTATCCAAAAACATTTTAAGTTAAATTAAGGTGTGCTAATTATTAAATAGTTAGCAATCTGAATGCATGTGATTGGTTTTAGTTCTGAACGTGAGTACTTTTAAATTTGTAATCATGACTAACAAAATTCACCAAAATCCAGTTTATCAAAGGAACATTATCGTCCTTGAGGACACGATCCTTCAGGAATCGCAATTTCAGGGCAGGTCCAACAACTGAAGCCTTCGATTCCCTGACTTCTGGTCAAATCCGACAAATCTGATTGGCTGAGAATACAAAACGAATACTCTGCGCGGAATTCTTGGTTCCGAACAAAAAGATTGTGGCCCCTGGGCACGAGTATGCCAAAGAAATATCACGCTTTTCTAGGAATATTAAAAAGCTTTAAGTTTAGTTTATCGATTGTATGAGATAGGTTTCACAATGACAGCTCCCCTCAAACCCAGTATCTCTAAATTTACAGACGAAAATACGTGTACAGCTCACATGATAGTGCATGTACTTTAACCTTTTGGCTCGCTGAGCTTCTTGTCAAAAACGCATTTTTTGGACATTTTGGAGATTTTCAAGCTGGATATGGGCCAAATTAGCTCCAATCTACTCAAAAAGGCATTTGCAACATGACAGCATGCCTTTCTTTCCAACAGCATCGCGTTTTGCGACATTTTTGCTCGGGCATGCGCAGAAATAAAAATTTTGAGTTCTTGGACGAGAAAGTGACCTACGTCTTTAGGCTTTTCGATTTTCTTTTTCCGCCTTTCCTTTCTCTCCTTTTTTTTTCTTTTTGCTGCAGTGATTGACCTACTGGGCTTGGTTCCAGTTCAAACAATTCTGAGAAAACACCATCGAGACGGGCAATTTTTACCATGGAGTAGCCACGTGTAGTCGCAGGAAATTTTGCTCTGAGTTTTTCACTCAACCTTTTGAGCTTTTTCATGAATATTTCAGGCCCCATTGAGCCGATCACTCTGATCTGGGTATCAATGGAAAGATCTTTTCCTCCCGCAGAAGTTGAGCATAGATGATGCCAATTTTGGTCAAAGGTGTTGACATCAGAAGTGGAACAAAGACCACGGCTCGTAAGCGCCGGTTACGGGCGGCACGGGGGTCAATGGGGAGTTTAAGAAATCCACGGGAACGTCGGAACGGGCAACGGGAACGTCGCTACGAGGAGAACAATGGTTTAACACGTGCGTTATAATTCTTAGTACATTTCTTTACCGCCCTCTGCAAAACAACAACGTGAAATGACCAAATTCTGCGTTGTCTGGAGTACGTGAACCACGACGGATAATATTTAAAATTTATATTTTGAATTTTGTGCTGTGTTCCATATATTCAGTTTCGAGCTGGTTTTGACAATGAGAAACAAACTAATTGACTTAAGAGTATCGCGAGATTTGCCGGTGAAATATTAATTTATTTTTTAGTCGAGGTTGTCCCCGGCGTCGCCGTCGTAGCTTCTTAAACTCCCTACTGGGTTAACTGATGCAATTAAACCTGAGTGAGTGGAAACTGGATTTTGAACAACTAAGCCAGTCATAACTCACCTACAAAAGGATTATTGTCAATGAATTCAAAAACTTTCTCTGTTCCAATCACAAAACTTCCCACACATCTTCCAGGCAGCACATTCTTGAAAGCATTGGTTATTGCTCCTCTCTCTGTCAAAGCTACTACACCATCACTGAACATCTCTGAATGAATGCCAAGGTTTCTGTGATCCAGCAGCCGACTAAGACAGGCATCTGGTATTGAGCCAATACCTTAAAGATTGCCACAAAAAGATAACATAATCGTTTTCCTATACAAATCCTTACATTTCAACTGTCGCATACCATGAATACTACCGTATGTATAGGGATGCTCATTTGCAAGCTTGGGCCACCTGTGTTTTCTTTTTGTTTCAACCTCACAAACCTGAGGGAATGAAAAATTTCAGTGACCCCAGCCAGTGCTTGTAGTCTGCCTTAACATCTCAATCCAGATTTTAAATATCCCAGCCTGATCAATCGATGAAACTGATAATCGATAGCAATCGATAGCAATCGAGAACAATCGAGAACAATTAATCGATTGATATCGGAAATCGATGACCAATCGATGAACAAAAATTTTGCGTTTTTCGATTGCCATCGATTGTCATCGACTGTCATCGATTATCATCGATTGCCATCGATTGTCATCAACTATTATGGAATCCCATCGATTGTCATCGACTAGCAATTTCATCGACTTCCATATTTTTTGGTCAGGTATATAAAATACGTGTCGTATCTGGACTTGCCAAAGAAGTTCCTATACAGTAAGCGCTATGCCAGTTCTACTCTAACTTAGCCGGGAACTTAGGTAGGTCAGGAGAGTAAAATGAGGCAAGATGGTTGATGCTGAATGCATATGGTGTTGACTTGTTAAATAAACACCCAGCAGGAAATGACCGCTGCGTATTACGGCTTTATGTCATCGTTGTACGTTAAAACCCCGGGATTAAACGTAATGAATGCTCGGCTGCCATTTCTCTTGTGAACAACAGCAACAACACTTTATTGATCTTCATAACAGAACCAAATGCAAAACTATAATTCTTTACAAAACGTAAACCGTGACTGCAATGAAAATGTTCCCACTCGTGCAACGGATACGTTGCTCCTTTGTTAAAAGTTCACTGGCAGAATATTTTCATTCCCTTGATGTGTTCTTTCAAGAATTATCCATAGTGCTAATTGCATTGAAAATGATCTTGCTAAACAATAGCAATCGATAGCAATTAGAGGACTCGAGCTTGTGATTATCGATTGGTCATCGATTGGACGATAGCAATTGACAACAATTAACTAATTGTCTTCGATAGATATCGATTGATCAATTGGATTTCCAATCATCAATTGTCATCGATTGATCAGGCCAGGTAAATATGCACTTTCAATTACTTCGACAATGTAACTTCCCTCCCCCCTGCCACAGAGGATCACAGAGCCTCCAGCCACAGATATGTATACCTACTTAATTAACAGTAAGTGGGTAAAAGACCTGTTTGCCTTACATTGCAGTAGAAAAACGTAATAACATGCGCTTAAATAACCTCTATTTATTCAGAAATTATGCACTGTACTTATGTAGGGTAGGTAGTCTGCTTATGAGCCAAGTGGCTCATCAGGCTGGAGCTGATTCCGGTTTCAGTAGCATGAAGCAACTACGAGTATTTCTACTCCCCCCCCTCCCCCTGGATGGGATGCTAGTCCATCACGGGGTTACCCCCCAGCATATTCGCCGGTAACCATTTATACACTTGGGTGCAGGCACTGTGAGAGTAACATGTCTTGCCCAAGAACACAACACATTGTCCCCGGCCAGGGCTCAAACCCAGACCACTTGCTCCCGAGTCATGCGCACTAATCGTGAGCCAGTACCATGCCTCCCACATACTGTACTTATGTACAATCTATAAACTTACCCATTTGAAGAGTTGCACCATCGTCTACAAGATTTTCAGCAATAAGTGATCCAATTTTGGCTTCCTCAGGAGATTCTGGTTTAATCTTTAGTTCTGGAAGTTTAAACTCGGAAACACACAGCACGTCAAGATGGGACTGGTGAATACCTCCTGGGCCATGTGTGCGAGGACACCGAGGATTGACAAGCCCTGGAAATTAGAAAGTAAAGAAAATTATTTCACGATCTATGCAGGTATGAGGTTGTTAAAATTGGCAAAATGTGAGTTCTATTGTAAACCAGTGCTACCTAACTAGTAAACGAAAATATTTAATTATCAATAATAATTATTATTAGTATAGGTAATCATACGGTTTTTCTCTTTCAATTTGGAATTAATTTGCACGAGTGAGTTTCTCCAAAAGCTGAAATTGCACGAGCCGCTTCCGCGAGTGCAATTTCAGCTTTTGGAAAAACTCACAAGTGCAAATTAATTCCAAATTGAACGAGAAAAACCGTATGGTTTACTTATTAATAATATAAACATGAATAAATTTGCATGGAGGAAGTGCTGGAAGACCTTTCTTGAAGCCATTTTTTCTCATTCAAGAAAACTTTTTTCAAAGTTTCCGCACAAAATTTTCGTCATCGTTTTACGTAATACCATTGGCTTCGAAAATTTATTATTGTCTTTCAGCCAATTATAATCTAGAATTATGAAGTATAATTTACACGTAAAAAAAATGTAATTTGTAAACGTAAACGTAAAAAAAAAAACGTAAACATAAAAACGTAAAACGTAAACGTAATTTGTTCACCCACGGAGCACCAAGGAGTTCACAGAACTCGTTCAGAAATGTCTGTGCATTCAAGAATCGAATTGGAATTTGAGAAATGTTGGTTTTTGAGGAGAGGGGAAAACCGGAGTACCCGGAGAAAAACCTCTCCGAGCAGAGAAGAGAACCAACAACAAACTCAAACCACATATGACGCCGGGTCCATGAATTGAATGCAGGACACATTGGTGGGAGGCGAGCGTTCTTACCACCGCACCATCCCTGCTCCCTGAACTGCACTTGAACTGCACTGCTCTCAGCCAATCAGAATCGAGTAATTTTTCCATGTATATTATTATATCTAGAATAGTTTGACAAACATATAAATACAACTGAGCAAAATACAAATTATAATAAATTAATTATGATACTAATAATTAACATGCATTGCCACATAGAGTTACAAAGAGAAATTGGAAAATAAAAATTTTCAAACCGTGACAGTAATGCAATTATATAATTAAGAAAATGAGACAGTATCGAGATTTGGAATAATTCACTGAAGAAAACCCAGCTTAAGTGCTTTATACAATTTAGAAGAGTCTAGTCACCGCATTTAGCTCAATATCAATTGATTAATTCACAACTTGTTTGTAGAGGCTGTGATGCCAATAATGCAGACATGCACACTAGACATAAACATCTATACATTTGTATTACAATTCATTAATTACATAACACACGCAGCCCTACCTATGATATATTTAGCATTTTGTATGGCAGCTCTTGTACAGTCCACACTCGGTCCTAGAGTACAGAAGCCATGTTTGTCTGGGGGACTAACTTGTATAAGAGCCACATCCAAGTCAATAATTTTCCGTTGAAAAAGCAGTGGAATCTCACTCAAGAAGATGGGGGTAAAATCAGCACGGCCTTCATTTACAGCTTTTCGACAATTGGCCCCGATGAACAAGGAGTTGCTTCTAAAAATTCCTACAACAGTTACAAATATCAGTTTGAAAAAAGATTTCAAGAAACTTGATGAGTTTACCTCTATAAGCTTGCCAACCGAAAAATAATATGATTGCTACAACTTAAAGTCTTCTAAGGGCAAAACCCTTAGCTATGATGTATTCTCATTGCCAGGTCTTGGCTAACAGAGGGCTCTGGAGAAGAAACCATCCCCCCTCCCCTCCCCAACCCCACACACACATGCTCCCCATCATCTTCTACTGAGGGCCAAAAACCTGTCCCACCTGACCCTGTCATTTGATGAGAAAGGGCCTATGTTCTCTTCTTGATGTCCCTTTGAGAAATACAGTCAAAGTCTCCAATGATACTGTTAACTACTGTTAGCGTTTACATTTGTTTGTTTTGGTACAGATTATAAAACAAGCCACAAATTAACACCTCACCTCTGTTGAGAACCATCCATCACTTGAAAAGCAGGTTGACTAGACCTACTAGTACTCTTGAAAAGTTAACACGTGAATCACCCCCATGCGTGAATGCTTTTAAGATCAGAAACTATACTCTCGCAGAGTCTCTTAATTCATTCAATGCTTAACACTTAAATCATGCATGTTTTAATACTTCTTGCTAATATATATACTATACTACTTACCATCAAATTCAGGTTCTACAAAAACCCCTGTTCCTTCAGTATGGATATGAATCAATTCTACATCCTGCAATCCAGCTTCTTTTCCTCTCTGAGCCATAGCTTCAAGAAGTGGTATGGGAGTAGCAGCACCCCCATGAACAAAAACTTTCATTCCTAAAACAACACCAGTATTATTACAAACTAACCTGGAAAAATTCACCTTGGAATGAGCATTGTATTGTAAATATCTCCCATCAGACAGTTTTTTGGTTTGACCCCCCGCCCCCCAACATAACCCCCTATAAATCCCAGTTTAGTTTCCTATTTCCTTTTAAATGTATTGCTTGTGATACTACCTACCCCCTACCTACCCCTTCTCATGAGGTGGGTACATGGACATGTTTTGCAATTGTTCTACATAACAGCTGGATTTGAGGTTGGAAATTGTCAACCAGCAAGACGCAAAATAAAATATTTGAAAAAAATACCAAGCTTTAACTTTCATAGACAACTTTGCAGTGCAGTATATAATTACAGCAGTCTACTCGTGATTTTGACGCATGCAGCTGTTGACAGTGATGTTTTAAACCAGGTATACTGTATCAAAGAAACAGTCTATTCAGAAAAAATCATGGGATTGAACAGCAGTAGCAGCCATATACCATTATACATGTGATAAAATTTAGATAACCTCGCACCTACATTCCTTTTGTAGGGGGGAGGCAGCTTCTTTTCAGGGGTAAGGTGCTAAGTCTCTATTAATAACTAAAGTCGAACCTCCCTTAAACGACCACCCAAAATGTCAAGTCTAGGTGGCTGCTTAAGGGAGGTCGAGGGCGGATTTAGGGGAGAGGCCAAGGGGGCCACTGCCTCCCTTTTTTTCTTGTATTTTCAAAGCATTTTTGTAACCAACAACGCCAATCCATCTAACCTTCTTTTGAGTGGTATTATTCAATCAAGCTTTCCTTTTATTTTATTCTCTGAGCTTTCCTTAGTTGAAATACATTTTGTGTGAACAATTATAATATATATTTATTTACCAAATATTCAAACAAAACGTGATCTGAAAACTCCACACTAATTGCAAACACCAAATGTAATAAGCATTTCTATCGGTGTGAAATGACGAGCAACACTGGACACAAATGTATTCCCTGCCGCGTCCCTTGCTGCATGATTAAGCTGCACGACTGCTAATGAGTGAAATAATTTTTGAAGCAAAGCAAAGAAAGCCCCCTGTTTATAATGATATTTCATCATAAACCAGGTGAGTATGTAACTTTTTTTTTTAGATCTGTATCTGTCTGTGATCGGGCGCCGATCGAGCTCTGCCTGCGAGAGTCAGACTTTGTTTGGTGATCCAGCAGAAAGGCAAAAGAATTAAAAATAATAAACTTTAGCTTATATTGAAGCACTCAAAGTAATGTTTTATCACAAAAGGTTTTGCGTAAATTGATTTATAAACCTGAGTTAATTTCTGGATAGAAAATTCTGACAAAAACGATTACAATTAATTTATTACAGCAAAAACAGTTTGCTGATGATATTTCAAAAATGGATTAGCTGTTTCTTCTTGTGCCAGGTGGAAGCGAGTTTTATAGAGCCAGTAACAAGTGCATCTGTTGAACAAAGCAACTCTTCACTGTGCTTTGTGAAGAATGTTTGTTGCAGCACCATGAGGGAAGACATATCTAAAGATTACAATACCATTGTTGACAAGTATGCATAAGTGTAACCAGACAAGGATGAAATTTATCAATCCACTGCAGTGATTTATTTCCAGTAATAGGATGTATAAAAACTGTAATGCGATGACTCTGTTAATAGTTCGCCTTCTGTGCAGGAATTTGTCACAGCACTGTCTCTGAATCAAAGGGCTGTATATTTCAAGTTAAATAGATGCATTTATTTCTCTCAATCTCATTTGATATTACACTGTCGATAGCTATTCCGATCTGAACTACACCCTTTTACATCAATGGATTTTACATTATAACTAACGGGGAAATACAATAATGTTGTAGGTCAGTTAATTCTTGGCTCGCCTTTTCTGTTGTAATACAAGTTCTACATCAAGATCATGCTTATCATTTCCTTTACATGCAAATCAGTACGCGATCTGTGTTAGCTATGCAATCTGTAAGTAAATGTCACATTGTGACGTTACCCTCCTAGATAATTTGCATAGTGTGATATAAAAATAATTGACTATTATCAAACACCTACCACTAACATAATTAGGATTTTGCTTTTGAAAATCATTTTATATAATGCTCTTTAATTTTCTCTTCCGAAATATTAACTTTACTCTTTACATCACATATACACCCACAATGCTGCATGCTTCATCTCCTAAAAGTGAATTTTCATTCGGGGTGGGGAGGGGGGGTCGCATTCAGCCCCCTCTTATGGAATTTTCTGGATTTGCCCCTGGAGGTAGTCGCTTACCAGAGCTTAGTCCATGCTGGGTCAAAATTTTACATCATTAGCATATGGTAACTGCAGAGATTTTCCCCACGTTTTAAATGTTTTACTCATGTAACAAGTCAATTTTGAGAAAAGATCTGTTGTTCCGTCTCTTGCACTTCCCAGGTATATGTATGCAGCAGTGTTACAACACCTTACCATCAAATTTCCATCCTATTATCCGTCAAGTGGTCGCTTATGGGAGGTTAAAAACAAAAGAAAATTTCAAACTTTTAGCTCTAAAAGTGGTCACAGTCACTTATGAGAGGTGGTCACTTTACAAGAGGTTCCAAATATAGTGATTTGACTTGGAAACTTTTGTTATTTTGGAAATCTGGTTGCCATGAAGAGATGGTGGCAACCAGAGGTTCGACAGTAGGAATCTTGTATCTTTATTTTGAAAAAAACAGTTGTGTTTATCAATTTTAGAATGGGCTTTGTGTCCCAAGCCAGTTAAATGGTTTCATAATTTTATGAAAATAAAGGCAGTATTAACTCATCAAATTCTGAATAAATTAAATGTAGTACGTAAATGCATGACCATGAAATAAGGTCTACAGTAAGAGGTTTGACAAATTATTGGAAAATCGTAGTTAATTGAAATTTTGTACAAGCCTGTGGAAAATATTTCTTGGAGGGGTGGGGGTGAGGTGGAAATAATATTTTGGTGGTGGTGGCAATATTAATTCAGTGGGGGGAAGTTCCAATTTTTGTGTTTATAATTTGTATTTTTAACATTTTTATAAAGGCATATGATCTGCAAAGTTAACTTCAACTGGGATATTAACTATACTAAAACTGGTGTAATGTTATAACCATCGAAGAAATAAGTTTAGCTATAACGAGCAATTACAAGCTCCCCTCACCTGATTCAATGACTTGTACCGCTTCTTGTGGTGACTTCCATGCCGGTGTTTTACCAGGCAGAGGATGAAATGGCTCCGCAGAATACGTGTAAAAACTACGATGACCTGAGATTGAAAACAAATAAATCAAAAGGTAGTTCGCGTGATAACCCATTCAGTGAATTTTATGTAAGGTATAAGTCCTGTTAATTGGGTGTGCTGTACAATTACGAACTTACTCGATTTGTCGACGTCTCCACGGGTTTTGTTGCTTCCAAGTGAAAAAATGCACCTCGATTGTAACCGAACTGCACCCGTAAGCAATCTCGCTGGGCGCAGTGTCTGTGCAAGCCGCGAAAACAAGGATGCCATACTTTCTTTCCAGCTAGACAGCTACCTTGGCCTTCCGTGACGTTATGCACGTTTTCATTCACAGGAAGCTGCACCAAATGGAATGACGGGTATCTGTCTGTTACAATATCACGTCACGAAATATATCTTAAAAAGTAGTCTATGGAAACTCTCAGAGCAATACCAAAGAGTATCACTTCAGAAATAGTTTTTGATAGAAAAATAGCAGTTACTCAAAGCGTAAAGGGAAAAGAAGAGCTCCTGAAGAGCACCAAGAAGAATTTGACTATTCTGGTGAAAGCAGCCGCTGTACAGAGAATGTGCGTGTTCGAAGATAGACAGGCGCTGGCGGTAACGTTTGTTGGCCGTATTCAATAAATATTTTTGAATGCCTTGTTTATGAATTTGATTTTTTTAAATCTATAAGGGAAGGTAGGTTTTTTATTGGGGGGCGGGGGCCGGGGCTTCGGAAGGGAGCCTGGGGCTTCGGAGGGGAGCCTGTTTTTATTCGCAACCAGGGGAGGGTCACAGGTTTTTTTTGGCAAGGAAAAAATTAATCCCTGTCACTTAGTTGACTCTTATTTGATAACAAACACACGAAGTGTATAGAAACCTAAAACTTGTATATACAAGCAAAGCTACCAGTCAAGATTAATCTACATTATTTACAGGTGTCGAAATATTATATCAAAAAACTATCTTGTCCCAACTGACATAATCGTTTCTCTCAACCCGTGCCCGCTTTCGTCCATATTTTGACGGCGGTAATGTTTCCACGCGGGATTCAGCTGGTATAAAATTAGTCTCCGGTGACGATTCGTTACTTAATGAACCGACAACTCGATCTACTACATCCCTTTCGAGTCAGTTTCAACCTCGGAAAGTGATTAGGTCACTTGTTGCTGCACATTTCTTAGTGGGGGCTGCCGAGGTTGTTGACATTCCATTGAATCGTACAGCAAGCTGCCAATGTGCGCTTTGACCATTGCGACCTTTTCAGCTTTCTTCCCATTGAAGGTAATCTTGTGATGGGAAAAGTACAAGGATAGCTCGTCCACCCTCAAGGACGACAGCTTATCGGAGTTGTACAGTCCAACCCAGTCAAAGTCATTGTACTCCCGGTTCAGCCGTTTCATTCGCTTCCTTTCAGTCTCCTCTTTCTTCTTCTCCTTGCGCATGTTTATCTGGGCAAGATGCTCAACATACTCTGCCACAAGCTTTTCGTGGACAATGTATATATCTGAAAACTTTCTAATAGCCTCACTGTCCAGAATACTATTTGAGATTTCAGTATATTTGCCCTTTGAGTTCGGTAACCACCCCTGGTCTTAATCTTTCCACTTCTCTGGACTTGCACTTTCACTTGTTCCCGCACCCGATGTGCCACCAACAGAGTCAGCGGAGTAGCGGGCATCCTTTTTAGAATGGCGAGTCGGCAAACACCCACAATAGCCACAAGTTGCTCCATCTGAGCTCATGAAATCCTCGCATTCACCACAAGCGCATTTCCCTCTTTCTATTCCTCGCACATCCTTGCCCATTTTCAAGTTTTCACCGTGCAATCACACGCCATGCAGTTAACTGCTTTGTGTGCAGACGCGGTTATGTGAGTAACACTTCCGGTTAGGTATTTTCACTTCCGGTTGTTTTTGTCTTGGAGGAGGTGGGGGGAGGGTCAGATGTTTTTGTGTAGGTATTTGTGAGGGGTCATGTATTAATCCACTCTGGGAAGTGGGAGGGCCACGACTTTTTTCACAAAAAATTTCTAAAATATCCCGACCCCCCCCCCCTCAATAAAAAAACGTACGTTCCCTAAGGAGCATTCTTCAGTTTAAACTATATACTTTAAGTCTTTTATCAAGGCGCGTATGCTCAACAGTAGACCGTACAGATGCACGTATGCAACCCAATGCAGGAATGGTTGTTGATCTCGTTGATCTATACATATTTCAGCTGTTATTATTATTATCATTATTATTATTATTTACACCAAGATGTTTGAAAATGCTATAATTTAATAAATGTAATTATTTGACGTTTTTGTCCTTCATTGAATTCCAGCTGTTTTACAATAATAGACAATATTCCGTGACATAACCGCGCGCTGCACGCGTGCAAACACAGGCATTACCCTTTAAATGCACGCATAGGAGATTATTCCGTGCGTTTTACGGATCACGAACTTTAAAGCCCTGGCCAAACGATCGCACCATTTCAACGCAACATATCGCGACGTTGTTGGTCCAGTATTTGCTAGCCCCGGCCAAACTATCGCAGCATTTCAACGCAACTTATCGCAACATTGTTGGGCGCAACATGTAACGTGCGTTTGGCCACCCTGTTAATAGTATTGCGACGTGTTGCAACATGTTGGGTGTTGCAAATCGAACTAGTGCGCATGCCCTGGCGCAACATTGTTGCACGAACCTGGCACAACATTATGCAACATCCACAAATGTTACCTGAAAAATTTGACCAGTTTCACACTTGAGCCAACAACACCCAACATGTCGCAACACATCGCAACACGGTGGCCAAACGCGCCAATGTTGCGATATGTTGTGTTAAAAATGTTACGATCGTTTGGAAAGTTTTCATTTTGGCTGTAATGATTAACTATGATTTTTTATGATTGTTACGCAATTTCCGTTTGCGAATCATATTCGGCCAAAGGACAATGTAATCAGAGAATAATAATAATAATAATAATAATAATAATAATAATAGAGCGGTTTTCAATTGAGTGTCGAAAGTAATTAGACAATTACTATGGTTTGGTTTTGGTTTTACTACGGTTTGAAATTGGCTAAGCAGTCTAATTGGTAAGTAATTGGTTTGGTTTTGGTTTTACGACACTCAATTGAAAACCGCTCTAATTAGAGCGGTTTTCAGTTGAGTGTCGAAAGTAATTAGACAATTACTTTGGTTTTGGTTTTACTACAGTTTGAGATTAGCTGAGAAGTCTAATTGGTAAGTAATTGGTTTTGGTTTTGGTTTTGGTTTTACGACACTCAATATTGAAAACCGCTCTATAATAATAATAATTAGAATAATTAGAATAATGGTTTATTAATATGTATCCATGCAAAAATGGTTCTTCATCTGTTACTAACTAATAAATTAGAAAACCCACTTATACTAGAGCGGTTTTAATTGAGTGTCGAAAGCAATCTGGTAATTACTTTGATTTTGGTTTTGGTTTTACTACTGTTTGAGATTGGCTGAGTAGTCTAATTGGTATGTAAGTGGTTTGGTTTTGGTTTTACGACACTCAATTGAAAACCGCTCTAAATCCTACTAACGAATAAATAGAAGAAATAGCGATTACGTGTAGACACTAAATGTAAGTACAAAGTTAAAAATATTTACTATTATTTTTTTCTCAAGCGGGCCGGAATCCTAAATCCTCGAATTTGATTGGTTAATCATACGCACGTGACCGGTCCAGTTTTTCACGATACCGCTCACGGGCCGGATTTTTTCTTCGCTGCCTAAATTTCGCTTCTAAAAGTTAGCGGTAATCGTCAACCTTTTGCCTTTTTTACACATCCATCGACGATTAGTCAACGCAAGTTTATCTCTTTTCACTTGAAAATGACAAGGAAAGTCACTGTAAGTAAATTCAATTGAGTGTTTTGAAGTTGTGAGAGTTTGCTTAATTGTTTGTGGCTTGGCGCTGTAATGGCGCGTAATCCTGTGTTTCTCTCGCCGTAAAATTTGAGTCAATTTCAGTCGAGTTTACCTCTCTGATCGTTGCTGTATTTAGAAGAATTTCTGTGGAATACACTTAACGAATTGTTTTTGTAATAAAACTTCAAACTTCGCACGAAATTTCACACCGTAAAAACAATTTTGGAGAACTTAACTGGTGGAATAAATGCAACTAACACAAAGTAGTTCGAAAAAAATCTGTTTCTTAATACATCTTTCTTTGTCTACTATCAGAGTTACTCGCTCGTTGCCGAGATTTTTTACTAGTTAGTAGACGGCGCGCAAGCCGATTCAGTGACAAGAGTTGCATAAACAAACCCATTTGTAATCTGTAAAACCAATTTACTGCAGGAAAAAAATAAACATGTTATTTGCCGGCTTACGGTCGGTCCGTATGGTAAAAAACTGTGACCTCAGGCTTGAAAATGCTGCCCTCGGCCTGCGGCCTCGGGCAGCATTTTCAAGACCTCGATCACCGTTTTTCACCATACGGACCGACCGTAAGCCGGCAAAAAACATATATGTAGTAATCGTAGCTTAAAGAGTGCGTTCGAGCATTGAAGCAAAAATTCTCGGAACAGCAATTTGTGCCTGAGCTGTTAGGTAGACGTGAAATTGGCCTCCCTCCCGCTGGGGCGAAAACAAATGAACTGATCGCAAAGCGCGTACGTACGAGAGGGTTTGATCTCATTGTACATGAATTACGTAATATTAGTTACGACCGGTCAGTATAAAACATGGAATGTGGTCGGTAGGCCGCATTTAGTCCGTAGTCCGCGTTTTCCATGAGTCCATATTTTATACCCAGTCCGTAATGCTTAGTCCACGTTTTACACCTAAGTCCGCAAGTCCGCAGTCTGCAGTCCGCCGTCCGCAGTCCGCAATCCGCAATCCACAATCCACAGTCCACAATCTATATTTTATAGCGACCGGAAACCTACGATTCTGGACCGTGAAAATCGACACAAACGTTGCCTGTTCCGTCAGTATGCGAGACGACGTGCTTTTATTACCAAAACTAAGACAATTATTCTGATTACGAAAACT